CTTAAAACTGTTGTGGGAAAAATGACATTTGATCGGTGACGCGGACAATGGCTCCTCCTCCTCCTCCTCCTCCTCCTCCTCCTCCTCCTCCTGCTGCTCTTCCTCCTCTTCCTCCTCCTCCTCAGAAGATCACAATTTTCGTTACCTTTCGTTCATTGTTTCCCTCAGAATATCTACACTTAAAAAAATAAAACTCGATCGAAAGTCATAGAAAAAGTCATAATGATCTGACGACGTCGGGAGATGACACGACAGGCCAGAGTGACTATATCATGTTCGAGCTTCTTGAGACTTTTGTAAATGGATGAAACTTGAATATAATATAATATGTTTTTATTTCAAGAATTTCCTTCAGTAGGTAGGTGACCGGATGCCTATGTGAACTGTCAACATGAGAAGCTTGGAACCGCAAACACACACACACGAGGACTTTACAGCAAAGATCTCGCTCTACTTTGCGGTGAAAAGGTTTCGAAATAGACACAATTGAAGCTTCCAACTACAAATACACAAACAGCTTCGATAAAATACATGAAGCTTTAAATAGACACAAAGGTTCGAAATATACAGGAAAACTCGTCCACGTTATCTTGGTTGATGTGTTTGTGTTTTATTTTTAGTACCAACTTCTACCTCAAGGTCACTTCTTACGCCACTCTCTCCAGCCAGCCACAAGCCACCTCCCAGCCAGTCAGTGTCAAGCCAGTCACCTTCCAACCAGTTACCAGTCACCTTCCAGCCAGTCTACTGACGCAGCTGGGCCAGGAGTCCTCAGCGTCCATGGATAAAATCATGACTAGTGAATTGGGGAGACGGTAAATGAAAGGGCGCTAACAGTATTGCAGGAACCTCAGGTGGGAGCGTAGGATCACCTGGATTCTCTACCCCCCCGCCTCCCCATTCAACAATATTCTACAAATTACATCATATAACACTGCACGATATCAGGTGTTGGTCACACACACACACACACACACACACACACACACACACACACACACACACACACACACACACACACACACACACACACACACACACACACACACACACACACACACACACACACACACACACACACACACACACACACACACACACACACACACACACGTTATTAATACAGCAGCAAACGATAAAATCTGCCTGGTGAATAGGTTTAGTGTATGTATGTATGTATGTATGTATGTATGTATGTATGTATAAATTAATGAACATACACACCTGCATCTGTGACAAAACAACACACACACACACACACACACAATAATAGTTTGCGTCAACGTGTTTACCAACCTACACGTCCACTGTGTACTTGTGTTTAATACATTAACTATAAAACTAACATGCGATTAGTTTTTTTTTTCAATAAACAACGACTACAGTATATATATATAACACTACAGATATTTACTACAACAACACGACCACCAACAATAACAATAAAACTAACAAAACAACAACACTTACCTAACTAACAATAACAATAAAAAATAATAAAAACAATAACAACAAGCATTAAAGTCCCAGCAGAGAACAAAAATGGCCACTAAGTCCCCAGAAGGTTGATAGTCACCCTTGATCAAAGTCCCCAAGAGATTAATGGACGACCCAGCAAAGTCCCCAGGTGTTAATGAGTCCCCCTAGGTATAAGTTCCCCCAGGTACTAATGAAAGTCCCTCAGGTGTTAACGAGTCACCCAGGTGTTAATGAGTCCCACTAGGTATAAATCCCCAGTAGGGTAAAGTCCCTCAAAGGTGTTAGTTAAAGTTCCCTAGGTAGATTTCCCTCAGGTATTAATGAGTCCCCTAGGTTTAAGTCCCCAAGTAGGATAAAGTCCCCCCAGGTGTTAATGAGTCCCCCTCCCACACACACGAAGTACGAGTCTAGAACCTGGAGGGTGAGGTGGTCAGGTATCTCAACCACGTAACGCAGATCACACACTGTCGACACGAGTGTAAGTCATACCTGGATGCTTGTAGGAATTACATGTATATATGTATGCAAACTCAACATATTTATGGGTGTACATGACGAGCATCGGGGAGGAGGAGAGGGGTAGGGGGAGGTAGGGAGAGGTGGGGGGAGGTAGGGGGAGGTGGGGGGAGTTGAGGGGGGAGGTGTGTAAGGAGAGATGAGGGGGAAGATCACTGATCTCTTAGAACCCTGGTGTTTTTTGAGGGAGTGTTGCAGGTCAGGTCAAAGGTCATACTCTACAGGTAACATGGGGGGGGGGGGCACCTACAGGTATCAAAGGTGGGGGGGGAGGGGATATATACAGGTAAATTATCTATGGCTCACGCGTATGGACCTCGACTCGCATCTGAAGGTCATGTTTACAGGTTAACGAGGTAGTTAAAGTTCATGGTTATTAGTCATGTTTTTATGGCATGTTGAAAAGGTCACGTGTACAGGTGAGAACTGCCAAGCCACATGTAAAGGTCACGCCCATAGGGCACATCTACACTACAGATCACATTCTACAGGTCATCTACAGGTCACTATGGGATACCAACCTCCAGCAAACAAATGGAAAAAAATAACAAATTGGATTAGACAATTAGTGAAGGAAAATGTTAATACAACACACACCTGTAATTAATCTTCTCGTCATCACAGGTAAAGCAGGATTAAATTGCATCAGTTTTCATGCACGACAAACGACCATTATTATTACTGTACTGTTTTTTAAAGGAGATGTGACATAACAGTAGTACTCTCTAACTACCAGGCTCATTTAGTTACCTTTATGATGTGTTGGTGATTAGTTAGTAGAGCAGTTACATACATACATACATACATACATACATACATACATACATACATACATACATACATACAAAACTTCAACTGATCAATAACTACAATAACAACAAGATTAGCTATGAAACAACAACAACAACACCTGATTAACTCACAACAATTACACAAGCACAAAGATACACAAGCAATGTAAACAACAACAACAACAACAACAACAACAACAACAACAACAACAACTACAACAACAACAGACACAAAAAGCTACACCGTGTTAGCTGGTAAAGTTAGCTCTTACATATAGCTTTAAAAGTTAGCAGGTAAGTTAGCAGGTAAGTTAGCTCCCGACACCTTGATAAATTTAACAACAGAATCTTATCAGTTAAAGTTAAAAGTTATCAAGGTCTTGTAAATAAATTGTGAAATATTGTAAATAATTAATGACGACGATGAGGTAAATATTATTTTTATTTAGTGAGTTATTTAATAGTTTAATTATATATATATAGAGGAAAATGACCTTGTTATCCTAATTTATAAGTGATAAATGGCCTTACTTATTCAATATACGGGGATAAAATGGCTTCACTTTTTAATAATTGGAGGAAAATGGTCATATTTTTTTATAGGGAATAAATTGCCACACACACACACACAGAACCATTTCCTTTAATATGAAAGGGTTCGATTCAACTTCCGGCCGCCATGATGAGAGTGACAAGTGCTCTACCCACGACACTGACGCTTGGTGCGGTTGTCCTTGTGTCGGGGTAACCGCATATGACACCTGGAACCGTCCACCGTCACGACACACACACACACACACACACGAAGAAAGCCATGGATACACACATATTACATACATACACAGAAAATACAAACACATACACACACACACATAGGCATACATACATACAACAAACACACAGATGGAACACATACACACAAACGTCATACACACACACACACACACACACACACACACACACACGTGACCAGTTCCCAGATGATAGGGTCACGCCCACCACTTCACACAACACACACAAAATGATTAAAAAATAAAAATAAATAAGTGTCTGGGAGAACGACGCAACACACACACACACACACACACACACACACACACACACACACACACACACACACACACACACACACAAAATAATAAAATAGTTTACCATCGTAGTTATTTTATCGATATTGAAAACGGGATGTGGAACTGACTATAAAATAATAATAATAATAATAATAAAAAGTAAAAAAAAAAATCCTCTCGTCATTTGTATTATATTAACCAAAATATTTCCGAAAACATTAATACGTAAGAGTCATTTGGAAATATTTTAACTCCACTATAATTCAATATAATCAAAAGTAAACCACACTTTATCTAAACACTAAATAGAGTATTTTCTTTAAGATTGTTTATTCTTTAATATTTCGTTCATATTACTGTAAATAATTAGGTATTAACTTACGATAAATTACCGAAACGAACGATAATTTTAGGGAAAAACTGGAACCTCTGTTTAAAATGTGTTTCTAAGTAATTATCAAAGTAACTAATAACTGATTGGAAATTTTATATATATTTCAAGACAGATTGGCCAATACAAAGCCTTGGATTAACAGTAATACGTGTGGTTAAAGATTGGGTGAAGACAAGGTTACAGAGAAAACCAATCGAAGGGCAATGAGGGATTAGGGATTACTGATGGGTTAGATTAAGAGGTTAATTTAACATACTAAGGATTACCTGGTACAGTTGACACGGGATTAGTTAAGATAGATCTACGGGGATTTTACACGGATTAGTTAGGACTAGTAAAGAAGGATTAGCTGGGTATAAGTTATAACACGGATTAATGAGGGATTAGTTAACACGGGTTAGCATACATCAACAAAGAATAACTTAGAACTAGTTAACACGGATTAGCAGGAGATTAGTTATCATATACTAGAAAGGAATTAGTTAACACATTAAAAAGGGATTAGTTAACACGGATTAGCAAGAGGATTAGTTAAGACGGATTAGCCAGGGATTAGTTAACACGAATTAGCCAGGGATTAGTCAACATGGATTAGCAAAGGGATTAATTAACACAGATTAGCAAAGGGATTAGTTAAAACGGGTTAGCCAGGGATTAGTTAACACAGATTAGCAAAGGGATTAGTTAAGACGGATTAGCCAGGGGTTAGTTAACACGGATTAGCAAGACACATAGGGGCTGGGTGCCTACCTTCCATCAGGCATTTGTCGCCATTGTTGGTCGGGCGCGAAGCTGGAAGTGAGAAATAGTTGTGAGTCGATGGTCTGTACGAGCTAACACACCTGTCTAACACACCTGTCTATGGTACTCCCTCCCTTAGGCACACCTGTCTGTTATTCTGACACTCCTAACAGCTGTGTGTATATGTGTGTGTGTGTGTGTGTGTGTGTGTAATCCCCTTACCTATCTCCTAGTACACCTTAATCACCTGTGTCTAACACCTGTATGATTCCCATGTCACACCTGCAACACATGTTTATCACCTCCAATGCCCCCTACCTACTGCTCTAACACATGTATAACACCTCTGTGAGCCCTACACCTGCGTATCACCTGTCTAACCTCCTCTAGCATACACATAACACATACCTAACACATACATAATGTTGTCTCTCTTCAAAATAACACATATTAAAGGCTTAACATCTTTGACACATATGTATAGTATGCAACACATGACTTACACTTACTTGTTCCCCTTTTCAACACCTGTGGCACACATCTAGGTAAGTACAACACATATTTAACACCTTATAATCGTAAGTAAGTTGTAACACATATTTATAACACATGATGGATATGTATCTTCAGCTCAGGTTATAACACATGTTTAATTTCTTTTGATACACAGGTGTTTAATAGCTCATACGGTGTAACACTCAGGTAACAGATGGTTCTATTGTTGAAGTTTAGTCATCCTCTCAACACATATGTAGTATCTTAACACATGCGTATCACCTCTAACACATATGTATCACCTCTTAACAATAACATAATAAACGTTCAATAAAAATTCTCAAACACCTGAACTGAGACACTCCTGTTTAATATTTCCTTCCAAGTCAATTAAAACACCTGTCCACACCTGTCCATTGATTACGGACGGACAGACAGACATGAGACAGGTAACACTCATGCCCACCCACACAGCTATCAGGAAATACTTGAACAGAATATAGCGTTTATTGCCAACACAAATATTAATGTTGAATCTCTTTTTATATAATAATAATAATAATAATAATAATAATAATAATAATAATAATAATAATAATAATAATAAATAAACCCTCAAACAACCCTCAAACAGCCCTCAAAACAACCCCCCAAACAACCTCCCCTAACAACAGCAGCAGCCCCCCGTCAGTATTACCACCACTACCCAATAAAACTTTTTCAGCGCCGCTAACAGCAAACTTTTGGGAGGCGCTAACAAGGCAGTTTTCCGGCATAATTAATTGTTTCTCATTAAGAAGCTAGGATGTGTGTGTGTGTGTGTGTGTGTGTGTGTGTGTGTGTGTGTGTGTGAGTGTGTGTGTGTGTGTGGATAGGATAGCTTAAGACGTAGGATGTATATATGCCACCAGTCTACCATACACCCATCGCATCAGTGCCACCCTACACCCACCAGCGCTACCACGCGCTCGCCACAACACGCCCACCAGTGCACCTTATAGCCAGCCATACGCCCACTGCCACAATACGCCCACCAGTGCCACCATACGCCCACCAGTGCCACCATAATACGCCCACTAGTGCCACCATACGCCCACCAGTGCCCATGGCCGCCCACCAGTGCCACCATACGCCCACCAGTGCCACCATACGCCACCAGTGCCACCATACGCCCCACCAGTGCCACCATAGGCCCACCAGTGCCACCATACGCCCACCAGTGCACTAGTGCCACCATACGCCCCACAGTGTACCATACGCCCAACAGTGCCGCCAATTACGCCCACTAGTGCCACCATACGTCAGCCACCAGTGCCACCATACGCCCACACCAGTGCCACCATAGCCCACCAGCCACCATACGCCCACTATGCCACCCGCCCACCGCCACCGATACGCCCACTAGTGCCACCATACGCCCACCAGTACCAACATAAGTGCCACCATACGCCCACTAGTATGCCACCATACGCCCACCAGTGCCCCATACCAGTGCCACCGTATACTCACCTCTGTCGTCGTCTGCGCTAATCACACGTTACCTCAGGCACTAATAAACAGGTCAGCCGAGGAAGCAACGAGTACTATAAATAATGGCTTAACCCTTGAGTACGATGATTTAACCCTTTGAGTACGATGTTTTAATACTTTGAGTACGATGATTTAACCCCTTGAATACTAAGGCTTAAAACACCGTACTCAAGGGGTTTAATAATTGTTTCAATGGCGTTAAATGATGGTACTCAAGGGGTTAACATACTCTTGGTTAACCTGGGTGTTAGGGTGAAGTTAACACACACACACACACTGCATAACGGTAACATGTCTATGATATCAGGTACACAACATTACGACCTGTTTAGCGAGTCAGTTCATGTGTCAGAGAGAGAGAGAGAGAGAGAGAGAGAGCCTCCCTACACCGCAGTGACCACCACCAGGTAGCGAGGAACTAATTAGCCGCGCGGAGGTGGACGGGAACAAGTGATACACGGTGGGTCTCGCCTTCATTAAGATAATTACCCCATAATTAAGAAAGAAGTCGTCACTCTTGCCTTCATTTGGACAATAATTCAACCATTCCCATGATAATATTATTTGGCCTGAGTCACATTTTCTTTCGCTTTTATTATGGGTAATTGGGCGTGGCAAAGTATCGTGGTAGGAGAGGAGGACCTATCGTAGTGATGACTGTAGGTACGATAGATGACGGTCTCGATGATATTGAATGTATTTTTTTTTCCTTGGGCAATATCCAATTATCAACTATACGATAGCCACAGTATTATCATCAACTACGATACCCACCGTGTTCCTGACCCCCCTCCCCGTCCCTCCATTTATCTACAATACCCGAACCTCTTCCTGACGATAAAACAATAATTGTACGATGACTCTGGGGGACATCACATGACGATAACCAACGATTCTCCGACGATACCTGACAAATCTATGAAACCTTTTTTTATTCAACAATTCTTCTACTAAATCCGATAAGTTCTTGTCACCCGACGGTATCCGATAACTTTTCTACTCTCCCCGACGGTACCCGATAACTTTTCTACCCTCTCCGACGGTATCCGATAACTTTTCTACCCTCCCCGACAGCATCCGATAACTTTTCTACCCTCCCCGACGGCATCCGATAACTTTTCTACCCTCCCCGACGGTATCCGATAACTTTTCTACCCTCCCCGACGGCATCCGATAACTTTTCTACCCTCCCCGACGGTATCCGATGACTGTGTGACTCTGGGCAGGTGTAGCGCAACACAGGAAGTTGGGCCGAGCTCTGATCACCTCCCTTGTGCCTACTCAACCAAGACACAGCGAGACACCCGTCCAGCCTCCACCCAGCACCAGAGGTTAGGTTAGGGAAGGTTAGATTATCGGTGAGAAACATAGGGTAGGGTAGGGTAGGGTAGTATGGTAGGGGTAGGTATGGTAGGGTAGGGTAGGGTAGGATAGGGTAGGGTAGGGTAGGGTAGGATAGGATAGGGTGCTTATCTTTCCTACCCTTTTCATCAAGTGGTGGGAGGTCATGGTGGCAGGTCATGGTGATGGATAGTGGTAGGTGGTGGTGGTAGGTCATGGATAGTGGTAGGTGGCGGTGGTAGGCCATGGTGATGGATAGTGGTAGGTGGTGGTGGTGGTGGTGGTGGTGGTGGTAGATAGATAGATAGATAGATAGTACCGTAGGTGGTGGATGTGGTAGTAGGTGGTGGGTGTGGCGGTAGTAAATGATAGTGACTAGCTGGTGATAGTGGTAAAGGTGGTGGTAGTGATGGTGAACACATTCTGCACAATCATCAACTTCCTTTGAAAATCACTTGGTAAAAAGAAGTGACCCTGATAACCTGCAAAATCATTATCACCCTCTAAAACACTCCCCCACACCCCCCTCCCCTACCCCCTCCCCCACCCCCTATAAAAAATAGACCCCCATGGAAGCCTAAACAAAAAATATCCTGTGACAAAACAAAAATTATTAAACAAATTATTTCCACAAGAATGAAAAAAAAAATGGGTGAAAAAATTAATTTATTCTCTTCAGGTTGACAAATAAATATTTTTTTTTATTCATGACCCACAAGGAAGATAAAACAGTTACATTTATTTCCCACGGAAGGAAAAAATAATGATTTATTAAGGGAATTATATTTATGGTCACTAGGAAGTAAAAAAAAAAATATAATTGTATAAAATTATTTCACTTGAGAAGACAATGTAATAAAAAAAAATCATATCTCAATAAAACATCTCGGGAAAAATGAGCCAAGACGGGCAATAAATAAAACAAGAACAAAACATAGAATAAAATAAGAAAAATCGGACAAATAAAATAACAAAAACAATAATGAATCACAAAACTAAAGAATAATACAAAAACGGCAAAAATATTCACAAAAATCGATCAAAAATAAACAGAAAAAACCCAATAATTATTTTCCTTTGTGTGTGTGTGTGTGTGTGTGTGTGTGTGTGTGTGTGTGTGTAATGTGTATGTATGTATGTACTTGTATGTGTATGTGTCTGTATGGGTGTATGTATGTATGTACTTGCATACGTGTTTGTACAAGTGTGTGTATGCGTGTATGTGGCACGGAGACTTGACTAATGATATGCATAGTTCAGCAGCCATTTTAAACTCTTAATTAAAATGGCTGGCGTTATTGAAGAGATTAACGGGTAAATGTAACGCCCTCAGCCCACTGCCATTACCACGCCCGTGAGCAATAAAGAGAATAATGAAAAAAGCCCCTGGTGCCGTCTGGAGGAATGACCCCCCCACCCCACAACCCACCACCCACCCCACAACCCACCACCCACCCCCTAGTCCTGGGTTTACATGTGCTGGGTGACGTAAATCGGGTAGACGTAAGCTGGGGAGGACGTAAGCTGGGGAAGACGTAAACTGGGGAAGACGTAAACTGGGGAACACGTAAGCTGGGGAAGACGTAAGCTGGGGAGGATGTAAGCTGGGGAAGACGTAAGCTGGGGAAGAAGTAAACTGGAGAGGATGTAACACTGTTTACAAATGGGTAGAAAGAGAAGGTCGCGTCTATCTATCTATCTATCTATCTATCTATCTATCTATCTATCTATCTGTCTGTCTATCTATTGATCTATCTATCTGTCTGTCTATCTATCTATCTGTCTAATTTGTCTATCTATCTATCGACCAGATTTCATAGATAGGGTTCGCCTCCACTCCAATCACTAACCACTACAACCAATCAACAACCACCACTACAACTATCTGCTAACCACCACTACAACCACCTCTCGTAACCACACCCATCAATCACCACTACTATCTCACAAACTAAACTACTGCAACCATCAACTCTTACTGACACTACTACCACTACTACTACTACTACCACCACTACTACTACTACCACCACCACTACTAAGTTTTAAGACAAATAAAAGCAATTAAATATCCCTAGTGTGGTAGAGACGTAATTACCACCCCCTACCACCTCCTAAACCAACCAACCACGACCAACCACCTCCACCCACAACACCCACCACCACCTACCTAACAAACACAACCACCACCCCTAACAACCAACCAACCAACCACCCCACACTACCACAACTACTCAAAGACAAGTAAAAACAATTAAGTATCAGTGGTGTGGTAGAGGCACAGGGTCAGCCATTACCACCAGCCTTACACGGGTGACTCTCAACAACGTCATTTTTCCAGTTTAATTAAAATCATCAGAGGTTTGCTTAGACCCCAAACATACGGGGAGAAGCCGACTGTTAATTTGGAAAGCGAGACACCAGCACGCATACACGATGACTCCTGGGCCTGTGTGTGTGTGTGTAGGCGTGTGGGGTGGGAGTAGGTGTCTGTGGTGTTTGGGTGTGGGGTGGTGTGGGTGTGTGTGGGGTGGTGTGTGTGTGTGGGGGGTGTGTGTGTAATGGTACGTAAGGCCATGGAGGAGACACCACTATCACCACCACCACCACCACCTTCACCACCACCACATTCAATGATCCAAGAGGCCCTTGAGCGTGAGCCTCCACTTGAGCTTGGTTGAGTGCACTTCCAGGACTTGCCGCTTGAGTGGAGGTCAGGAATGTGCTTCCTCTTAAACACTTTATCACTCACTTGTTATTTCTGGCCATCAGTTATTTTCCTTCCGTTTTTTACTGACCAATTAATTCATTATTATTTACTCTCCTTCGTCGTCACCTGAGGCGGGAAGTCTTACTGAAATTATTTGATTTTTGGAGATAATATTGTAAGTGTGTGTGTGTGTGTGTGTGTGTGTGTGTGTGTGTGTGTGTCTGGATATGTGTGTTTGTGTGGATTTGCGTGTGTATGGATGTGGGAGTGTGTACAGGCGTGAGAGGGTGTATGGATATGGGCGTCTATTTTTTGTGTGTAGAGCGAGCGTGGGCGTGTGTGTTCGTTTGTATGGGTGTGGGCGTCTTGGTGTGTGAGTGTGCCTGCGGGCGTGGCTGGCAGGAACACACGCCCGCCTGTGAGCGAGAATGAAACATAGAGGAACTAATGTGAGATACACGGCGGCTTGCTCGACCTGCCTGGCATACTAAGATGGCCGCCCTGTTTCCCCTCTCTCCCACCACCTCTCCCCTCACCTCTCAGCTCTCCCCTCACCTCTCAGCTCTCCCCTCACCTCTCAGCTCTCCCCTCACCTCTCAGCTCACCTCTCATCTGTTCCCTCCCCTCACCTCTTCCTTCTCTCAGTTCCCCCTATCCTCTCCCCCTTCTCTCTTTCCTCGCCTCTTCTCTCCTTCGCCTCTTCCTTCTTCCCCATCTGTTATCCCCATATCCTTTATCAGTGATGATGGTGATGGTGTGGTGATGGTGATACGTGGTGATGGTGATACGTGGTGATGGTGGTGGTGACGAGGTAGTGGAAAAAAGTAGTGCAGATGATGGTGGCAGGTGGTGGTGGTAGTGATAGGTGGTAGTGGTGGCAGGTGATGATAGGTGGTGATACGTTGTAGGTGGTGAGGAAAACAGCCATATAGTGAAGTCATAAGCTAATTACAGATAGTTTAAAGATGGTAAAGCTGGTGGAATATGATGGAGATATATGGTGGAAGATGGTACGAGTCAGGCAGGCAGGCAGGCGGTCAGGCAGCTAGGGACGTCAGCTTTAAGTGAGCGAGAGCGAGTGACGTACAGCCAAGCTCCACTGCACTATTACGTTTCCTTAATCCATAAATAACAATAAATTACACACACACACACACACACACACAGACAGACAGACAGACAGACAGACAGACTCTCTCTCTCTCTCTCTCTCTCTCCATGGCCTCACATCGCTTTAAATGCCAGAAAATACTTCAATTAAGTGTACAAAAAATAATTAACGAGTAAAATAAATTATTCTCTGTCTGTCTGTCTGGTAGAAGGAGGAGAGACAGGGAGAGATAATAGACGTGGGAGGAGGGTGAGAGAGGAGGATAGGAGGTGGTGGATAGTAGCAAGAGAATAGATAGAGGAGAGGTGGGAGGGAAGAGGTTGACGGGTGAGGGTTTAGGCTAGGAGATAGAGGGAGGGAGGGAGAGGTAGGGAGGGAGGTAGAAGGAGAGGGATGAGGGATTAGGCAGGTGGTTAGGAGATGGATTGTAAGTAAGAGGATAGGATAGGAGGTGGATGGAGGATATTAAAGAGAGAGAGAGAGAGAGAGAGCGCTAGGGATCATGTGGGCAGCAGAACCTGTAAACCCCGGGATTGTCGCTCGATCAGTCTTCATAACCTTTGGATCACGACGCTGTTGCCGGCTGGTCCAGTGGCTGTTGAGGACGGGGGGTGCAGGAGCTATTAAGGCGGTGTTGGAGGAGCTATTGAAGGTTTTGTTGGAGGAGATCCTGATGGTGTGTTGGAGGAGCTATTAGGGTGGTGTTGGAGGAGCTATAATCGATGTTGTTGGAGGAGCTATTGAAGGTGGTGTTGGAGGAGATATTAAGGTGGTGTTGGAGGAGGTATTAAAGAGGTGTTGGAGGAGCTATAAAGGAGGTGTTGGAGGAGCTATTAAGGAGGTGTTGGAGGAGCTATGATCGATGTTGTTGAAGGTGCTATTGAAGGGGTGCTGATGGCTGGCAGAGAGGCTTTGCTCGGACTGCTGGAGGTGTTACTGGGGGCCAAGAGGAAGGCTTTTGAAGACTTTTGAAGGCTTTTGCGATTTTGCTTCAGGAATATTAAAAAGGACTCGAGAGAGGATTTTAAAATGGCCGAAGGGACTGTTCTGATGGGCTGAAGGGACTGTTCTGATGGGCTGAAGGGGGCTGTTCTGATGGGCTGAAGGGGCTGTTGTGATGGACTTGAAGGCTGCTGTGATGGACTGAAGGGCTGTTGTGATGGACTGAAGGGCTGTTCTGATGGGCTGAAGGGGCTGTTCTGATGGGCTGAAGGGGCTGTTCTGATGGGCTGAAGGGGCTGTTCTGATGGGCTGAAGGGGCTGTTCTGATGGGCTGAAGGGGCTGTTCTGATGGACTGAAGGGGCTGTTCTGATGGGCTGAAGGGGCTGTTCTGATGGACTGAAGGGGTCATCATACCAGAGGATTTTGTAAGATAATACCAGAAGGTTGTAAAGTTGTTGTCAGGTTGTTATGAAACTATCACAGGGTTGTTTACGAGCTGTTGTCAGAGAGCGTGAAGCTGTTACCGCCCAGCTGTTGTGACATTGGGGGGAGGCACCGATCCAGCTTGGGGGGGGGAGAGTGTGGCACTGTTCTTATTGGGGGGAGAGTGTAAAACGAGGCACTATTCTAAACGAAGGGGAGGAAGGAGGAATAGGAGGAAGAAGGAAGAGGAGGATGAAGGAAGAAGAAGGAGGAGGGAGAAGAAGAGGAAGAAGAAGAAAAAGGAAGAAGGAAGAGGAAGAAGAAAGAGGAAGAAGAAGAAAGAGGAAGAAGGAAGTGGAGGAGGAAGGAGGAAGAAGAAGGAAGGAGGAAGGAGGAAGAAGAAGGAAGGAGGAAGAAGGAATGAGAAGAAGATAGAAGAAGAAGAAGAAGAAGAAGAAGAAGAAGCAGGAGGAGGAAGAAGAAGAAGGAGAAGGTGTAAGTGTGGAAACTCCTGTACAGGCTGGTCTGTTGTGGACAAAATTCCGACACCATCACAATATTACACTGGCAGTTGTCGAGGCTAGGGGGGGGGGTAGGCTAGTAGAGGCTCTCACACACACACTGGAAGTAGTATGACAGCTTTTACCAGGGTCGCTTCAGAGCCATACTACGGCCACCGAGAGTATGAGGGAGTGTGAGGCAGGTGAGGTGAGGGAGGAGTGAAGTGAGAGGTTTAAGAGGTGAGGAAGGGAGGGAGGTGAGGGAGGAGATGAGGGACGAAGGAGGTAAGGGAGGAAGGAAGTGAGGGAGGAAAGTGGTGTGATGGTAGGAAGGTGAGGGAGGAAGGGAGACAGAAGATGATGGAGGACAGAGCTAAGGGAGGACAAAGGTGAGGGAGAACAAAGGAGAGAGGAAAGGGAGAAGGCGAGAGGGTAAGGCACTGAGAGGGAGGGAACTACAGCGAGGGAGTAGATTTTAAAGTAAAGAGACCCATCAAAAATTTTATGCCCAGGGAGAGAACGACCTTAGAGAGAGAGAGAGAGAGAGAGAGAGAGAGACCTGCCAACACTGCTGTATCACACTATAGCCGAGGTCAGCAGTATGATAAGTATGACGTGTTTGACGATGTTATGGTGTCGTTTACCAGGACACACACACACACACACACACACACACACACACACACACACACACAAACACACACACTTATGATTCAGTATGTTGGTGTTGTGTTCCAGAATATAGGACGACTTAAGTGTGATGTAGTGTGTTGAGTCGTGTTGTGTCGTCGTCAAGGGGTGAAGACAGATGCTGAAGTATAATTTAGTTCCTATACATACTACCAAGTCTAAACGACAAGCCTTGGTGTATCATGTTGCATCGTCGTTCAAGATGAAGTGTAAGTACTGCGTGTTTTTGTCGTGTTGTGTACCTGGACGACCTGTGAATTATTGTCGCGTTAAAAGAGCTTGAGTATTGTTGTGTCGTGGCCTGGCCTGCTCTGTCTGTCTGTCTGTCTGTCTGTCGTGGCCTGGTCTGTCTGTCTGTCTGTGTCTGTCGTGGCCTGGTCTGTCTGTCTGTCGGCCTGGTCTGTCTGTCTGTCGTGGCCTGGCTCCGTCTGTCGGCCTGGTCTGTCTGGTCTGGCCTGGTCTGTCTGTCGTGGCCTGGTTCGGGTTCGTCGCTGTCTGTCTGTCTTGGCCTGTCTGTCTGTCTGTCTGTCTGTCGTGGCCTGTTGTCTGTCTTGGCCTGTTCGTCCCGTCTGTCTGTCTTGGCCTGTCTGTCGTGGCCTGGGTCTGTCTGTCTTGGCCTGTCTGTCGGCCTGTCTGTCTGTCGTGGCCTGTCTGTCTGTCTTGGCCTCTGTCGGGCCTGCTCTGTCTGTCTGTCGGGCCTGCTCTGTCTGTCGTGGCCTGCTCTGTCTGTCTGTCTTGGCCTGTCTGTCGTGGCCTGTCTGTCTGTCGTGCAAGAAGTTCTATTCTCCTGAGACGATTTATAAAGACATGTTGTCGCTTCTACTTCGATTTAATATTGGTTGGTACGGACATACATACATACATACATACATACATACATACATACATACATACATACATACATACGAACCCCTCTACGTGTGTGTGTGTGTGTGTGACTCGTACCACACACACACACACTCTGATGATGTACTCAAACACACTTAGTGACTCACTCTCGCGTGTCGTGAGGTGGACGTGTCGCGGTGGATAATGAGTTTGTTACAGTACTGACGCGTAAAATTCAGGTGATTGGTGTATACTGCAGTACTACCTTGTTATGAAGTATGACATAGTGGTGTATGATGGCGTATGATGGTGTATGATGGTGTATGATGGTGTATGATGGTGTATGATGGTGTATGATGGCGTATGATGGTGTATGATGGTGTATGATGGCGTATGATGGCGTATGATGGTGTATGATGGTGTATGATGGTGTATGATGGTGTATTATGGAATATTCTAATACTGTTATAGATTGATGTAACATACTATGGTGTTTATTGGCGTGTATAATGTAATACAGATGTGGTATGATAATAAATAATGGTGTATGATAGTCTTGGAGTATGATAGTTTAATATGGAGTGATATCATAAATAATAGCGAATTATTGAGCGTAAAGGAGTATTTTAGTATAATTATGGAGGAATGTTATATACTATGGTATTAACGGCGTGGAATGATATAGTGAAGTATTGTTATGGAGTAATATTATAATTTGTGGCGTATTATGGTGCGTAATGGCGTTATTACAGTGTAATGCGTATAAGAGATGCGTAATGTGGTGGAGTAATGCTTTAATGGTGTATGTTGTGGTGAATTGTGGTGTAGTGGAGCGTATGGTGGCTTATAGTGACGTACTTTATCCTAATTTGGTGCATTATGGTGTTGTGGTGCTGGTTATTGTGGAATCTTGAGTCTTGTGTTGATGTGGGCGTGGTGTGTGGGTGTGGGCGTGGTGTGGATGTTGGCGTGATGTGTGGAGGGAATGTAGGTGAGGTTATGGTGTGGGTGTGGTGTGGGCGTGATGAGTGGTGTGGGTGTGGGCTCTATGTGGGCGTGGTGTGGATGTGGGCGTGTGGCAGAAACAGAGAGAGACGCAGCCCTCACGTTTGTCGAGGACGAACGTGATATCATTACCACCAGCCAGTGTTATCAGGACGAGGGGAGATCTTCAGGAGGGGAGAGGGGAGGGGAGGGAAGGGGGGAGGAACTGTGACAAAGGAGGGTAAGAAAGGAAGGGAGGGAAAGAAAGGAAGGGAGGGAAAGAAAGGAAGGGAGGGAAAGGAGGGAGAGGAACTGTGGAAAGGGAGAGAGGAAAAGGGAGGGGAGAGGAAACGGTAAGAGAAGACAAGACGAATGAGAACAGTGTAAATTAAGGTGTAAAATAAACCTGTGTAAAAGAGACAGCAATGAAGAAACTATGGGAAAGTAAATCTTGTAAAATACGTGTAAATGAAAAAATAGTGTGATGATAAGTGTGAAAATAAATGTAAAATAAAACCAATAAAAATGTAAATAAAGACATGCGAGTGTAAACGAAAACACGTAATTAAAAGTGTAAATTAAATTATAAGCTCCAGGATATTTTACAACGGCGAAAGTTTGAGAATATAATTTTCATCATCATCATCATCACAACATACAGGTAAGATCTTTCACTTGTAATTACTGATACTAATTAACCTCTATACACCTGGAGTCTATTAGAGAAAATTAATTACATTGTTTAGACTAAAAAAAATAATTCGCCACACACACACACAGCTCAACCTTGTGTCTCATCGTTCAACATCAATAAGCTAAGAAGCTGAGATTGTTTTGCTGTGACTCTCAGCTCAGATTATCCTGGCGCTGAGATTGTCGACCATTAATTTGAGAAAAATATTATTTTATGGTATTTTATAAAACATAATTTAACTTAACCTAACCTAACCTCTATCCTAATCCAACCCTAACTAACCTGCTCTAACCTATCCCACCCTATCCTAACTCCAACCCAATCTAACCTCATTGGGTAGGTTAGGTTAGGTTTACTCTGACAGAAAAAACAGTAGATGAGGAAGGCTTTGATCACCAGTCGACGGGATGACAGTGATGACGATGACAGTGATGACGATGACAGTGATGACGATGACAGTGATGACGATGATGATGATAGATAATGATAGTGATGATAGTGGTGGTGATAATAATAACAACGATAATATGGATAACGACAATAATAATAATAATAATAATAATAATAACAATACCTGTAGCAATAATAATAATAATAAAAATGATAATAATAATAATAATAATAATAATAATAATAATAATAATAATAATAATATTAATAATAATAATACACAAACCATCAACTATAAACCACATCTTCAATTACACAGACAATCACCAATTTACTTCAATAACAACAACAGTAGAAGCCACAGTAAATAACCTGGCTCACTTGTAAACGGTCTAAAAAATATTGTCCTTGAAACGATGATCTACCTTTTACATTAAGGTGATTCTAGGGTAATGGGTGGGAAGGTAATGGGCGGCAGGTGGGGTGTGGGCGGCAGGGTGATGGGCGGCAGGGCGGGGAGGGCGGTAAAGGGCGGTGTGGGCGGCAGGGAGGAGGGAGGCAACGGACTGCGTAAGGTCGGAAGGCAGCGGACACAGCGAGCTGCTACCGTGTGTCACCGCTAGAACGAGTTACCGCTGTCGTTGTGTTACCGCTGTCGTTGTGTTACCGCTATTGTGTGTTACCGCTAAAACGAGTTACCGCTATCGTGCGTTACCGGTATCGAGGGTTACAGCTGTCGTTGTGTTACTGTTATCGTGCATTACTGCTATCGTGTGTTACTGCTATCGATGTGTTACCGCTAAAACGAGTTACCGCTATTGTGCGTTAGCGCTATCGAGTGTTACCGCTTAAACGAGTTACCGCTATCGTGTGTTACCACTAAAACGAGTTACCGCTAAA